AACTCCCAGAATTCCCCAGCCAGCGAATGCTGGCTGGGGAATTCTGGGAGTTGAAGTCCGGACATCTTCAAGTTCCCAAGGTTGAGAAACACTGTAGTAGGGGACCTAGATGAACAAACTAATCACAAAATTGGGGGGGGGGGGAAACTATTCCTTTTTTTAGTCTCCAAATCTCATATTTTCCTCATGCTTCTCATCCTGGAACTATCTGTTTGAAGCAACAGCATGGAATCTTTCCTAGCATGAGGACTGAAAATTAGAACTAATTAAAGCTAATTAAGTACAAGAATGGCCTACATGGCAGGATGAAGTGAGCAAACCTAACCCTCACAGATATCTGACCATAAATTATATATTATTGAACCATGAAGAAAATCTAAAATTGCTGATTCTTGTTAAATAATTGGCTTCCTTTTTTTGACCATATCTAGTTATGCTTCCACTATAAAGTCCCTGTTAGGATTTATAACTTTAGCTGCAGCATTTTTGCTTTTCATTGTGTAAATTATTTAAAACAACAATTGCTAGTTCTATAAAACAATCAATGACTTATTTGCCATGACGTTGTTAGGTTTTCAGAGGCAACTATTTCATCCTGAGTAACTCAGTTGTCTTTACTTTATATTTGTATCATTTAGGTGTATAATGGAACTTCCCTGTTGTAGAAGGGCTTCCCAAGAATCAATTTTTAATTATCTGTTATTTTAAAAATGTATTCAGTTTTAGCCTTTGCCTTATTGTAAAATGTGGGGCCATTTACATAAATATCTATCTGTACATTATTGTTTTCCATAACTTTTTTTTTTTTATTTTGAGAATAGACATACTGAGGATTTTCTTGTTTGACAAATTAATTTGGCTGCACTGCATTAGTGTAAGGAACATATTGCAACATGATTATGGCCTGTTTTCTGGCTTTATTAATCCAGAAACCTAAGTGATAAACAACACTTGTGTCATTGTCTACACAAATGTAATTTGTTTATGCAGAAGTTCAGTTAATCCTACCATCTGCTTTTCTCAAATGAGAACAGATAATGGAGGCACAGCTCCTCACAGGTCTTCAGGCTTTTAAATTCTGATAAAATCAGGATTCTTCACTGGCTCTTGCCACCGCTCTGAATTAAGCCACTTTAAATGTAATTACTGAAGCTGGCTGTACATCAGGAACATCCATTAAAAGAATTGATTGACCATGCTGTTACGGCAGGCATTTTATGAACAAACTATCATGACGGGTCCAGAACTGTAATTTATGAAAGCAAAAAAGCAGGTAAACACTTTATTAGCCGTTAATAAGAGGCACACTGGGTAACTGAATTTTGTCTTTTTTAACCAGCCACTTTAAGGAACCTTGGGCCTTGGCCATCTATCACGATCGTTTTAGTGATCTGAAGAAGGAACTACGTCAGATCTTAGTATCTACCCAGGTAAAAAAATCCCTTCCTATATGCATTTAATATAAGCATTTATTATTGCTGATTATTTGTTTTCATATTTCAACAAGCTGGAAGTTTGTTGTTTCTTCTTTAGTCTTAAACTATAAAGATTCAGAATATTGTCAGAGCCGGGTTGATCTAATAGTTAAGGCAGGAGCCTTAATGAGCAGGAGACTGAGTTCTAGCCATGATAGCCAGCTGAGCAAGCTTGGGCCAGTCACTCTGTTTCAGCCCAATTCACCTCACCAGGTTGTTATTGTGGGGAAAATAGGAGGAGGAAGGTTTTTGATATTTCTGCCACTTTGAGTTATTTGTTAAAATAATAAAGGTGGTATACAAGCAAACAAACAATTATGAACTTTAGGAAAAATTTTATACACAGTTCATATCAATTTCAGTGCCCTGTTGCTTTGGTTACTTCATGTGCATTGCATCATTTTGAATGGATCAATTGCTTTAATTTTCTTAGAGTAATTACCTAAGAACATAAGAGACCTACAGGATCAGTTCAACAATTTATTAATGCAAAATCCTGTTTCCATAGTTGGCACCTAGAAATCCCATAGCCAAGCTGTGAAGGTAATTGTTAATAGAGCTGTGTAAAGCATTCAAATGAGGTACTTCTCCTCGCATGGGAGCAAGAAGGAAACAGGAAACACCTCTTATTAACTCACAAAGTAGTGTCTCATAACCTAGTGTGATTGCTTGGAAAGCTGCTCCCACATGCCTCTACCTGAATGCAGTGGTGGGATTCAGCTAGTTCACACCACTTCGGGAGAACTGGTTGTTAACTTCCTGAGCAGTTTGATGAACTGGCTGTTGGAAGAAATCCTTAGGGCAGAGAACCGGTTGTTAAATTATTTGAATCCCACCACTGCCTGTAAGTCCATCCATAGTTATACCTGCTTTTCAGCGATTACTCAGTATATTTGATATACACTCCCCAGAGCAACTTGTTCAGATGTACAGCTATAGGGTTCACCGACAAAAGCGTGCCCGAAAAAAGCGTGCCCGACGAAACCGTGGCGAGAAAACTGCGAGTTCTAAACCGTGCCAACGAATGAGCACAGAAGCGCGCCAACAGAAGCACGCTCTAAACCTAACCCTAAACCTAACCCTGAAGCTAACCCTGAACCTAACCCCAACCCTAACCCTGAACCTAACCCTGAACCTAACCCTAAACCTAACCCTAAACCTAACCCTGACCCTTACCTTAACTTAAATCGCGCTTCTGTCAGCGCGCTGTTGTCGGTGCGTTGATGATGTCGTGGTTTTCACGCCACGGTTTCGTCGGTGGGCTTTTGTCATGCGCGCATTTGTTGGGTCACGCAGCTATAGAATTTAAATAAAATAAAAACAGTTTTTGCATTCCCTGAATTTTACCAGATGTAGTTATTTTGCTTGCAGATGTTTCATCACCAATAGGTAACATTGTCAGTGCTTGTAAGTGTGGGGTTTGCTCCCTGTTTATATACAGTAGCTTGCCCTACCAGTGTTGGTGGGGATGCCGTTTTCTCCTTAGTCGTTCCTTGATTATTGATTACCCCTCCCCTAGATCCCTGCAGGCCTTTTCCCTCCCCATGCCAGGTCCCCTCAGGCCTTTTCATCCTCACTTGGTTCCCACAGGATTTGGGCCTCCATCCCACCCTCATTAACCATAGTGCTCTTACCTTTTGATGATCTCTGGAGCTCCAGAGCTTTCCGCAGCGCTGCATAGAGTGGTTTAGGAAAACACAATGGAACGGCCCATCCTAGAAATGGTCACCATTTCAGTGTAACCACAAGTAATTGTGGGCACACTAAAAATGGTGGCCACTTCCAGGAGTCAACCATGTGACCTGGGAAAAGTGGCCTGCCCTCCTTTCCCAATATAAGGTTTTGTGATCTTCAAAAGATAAGTGTGCAATGGGTGATGGGAGGTGGGGAGCAGGCCCAGTGGGGGTGAGAGAGATGGGAGGGCAAATGACCACTGGGGCAGTGCAGAAGATGTACTTCAAAACAGTATCATAAGTAGTTTTTGTGGGGTCTGGTTGTTAAGAAAAGATAACCTGCGCTTGTTTATACAAAGTCTACATCTAAAGGCAATATGCTTATAAGGGGCAAGTGCAATCAGATCTTCAATCTATTGAATAAATGGAGCCATGCATTTATTTTCCCAATACTGCTATATCAGTCATAGTCATAAAAGGAAATGGAGAGTCTCAAATATCATGTATTAGGTACAGGTAGTCCTAGACTTACAACGGTTCATTTAATGACCACTTGAAGTTACAGTGGTGCTGAAAAATGTTACTTATGACCAGTGGTGAAATTCAATTTTTTTTACCACTGGTTCTGTGGGCGTGGCTTGGTGGGCATGGTGTGGCTTGGTGGGCATGGTGTGGCTTGGTGGGCATGGTGTGGCTTGGTGGGCATGGCAGGGGAAGGATACTGCAAAATCCCCATAACCACCCCACTCT